TGCAACAACAAATTGCATGCAGTTACTGTTGCTTTGTATGCAGCGCTGTACATACACCTCACGAACATGAGTGCAAATGCATTTAGTGCAAAAAGAGGAAAATTGATTTTTTACTTTCGCATGCATTTTGCACGCATTTTGCATGCATTTTGCATGCATTTTGCATGCATTTTGCATGCATTTTGCATGCATTGTAATGCCAATAAATTCCCTTTTTATTTGCATGCAGGCCTGGAAGTCGCGGAAATATTCAATTAATTTTTCTTTAAGTGCATTTTTGCACGCCAAATGCATGCATGCATTTAAACATGCTTTTCGCTTTTCCTGTTTCACATACAATTCCCTATTTCGAGTGTATGTACACACAGCTTGCATGCATATATTTTAATCCATCATGCATATATATATATGTATGTGTATATATATGTATATATATATAGCTATATATATATATATATATATATATATAGGTATATATATATATATATCTACATACCTATTTATATTATAGGTATATATATACAAATATTATACATATATATATATGTACCTATATGTATGCATAGATGAAGAGTATATATATGTAATATATATGCACGGTATATATATTTATATATATATATATACATATATATATATATATATATATATATGCATACATAGATATATATAATATATATGTTATATGTGTATATCTATATATACACAGTATATATATATATATATGTAATATGTATGCACAATATATATCTAATATATATACATTAATATTGTATAGGGAATTGTGTATGGGCAGTTTATGTAGATATTCATGAAAGGGTTTAAGTATTTACTTTTACCCTGTGTCGCCGTAGACGCTGCCTGCTGCTGAAGGAGCAGCAGCAGCTGCAGCAGCAGCTGCAACAGCAGCTGCTGCAGCAGCAGCAGCTGCAGCAGCAGCAGCAGCGGCAGCGGGGCTGGCGCTGCAGCAGCAGGAGCACTATAAGCATATTGGGGTCAATTTTAACAGGGAAAACAGCACTTAGCACTAATTAACATCAACTAATTAATTAATTAATTTAAATAATATTTATTTATTTATTTATTTATTTATTCAGAGCTTGCGTCGGAAGGCTAGAAACCCGCAGGGGCAGCCGCCCTGTGGTATCTTGTCCGATTTGCCCCGTAGCGACGCCCACAGCAGAAGTAAGTTTAATTATTTATTTATTTATATATTTATTTATTTACTTACTTATTTATTTATTTAATTTAATTTAATTTAATTAATTAATTAGATTAAATAATTAATTAGGTAATTGGGAAGGTAATTGGTTCGATTGGTTTATTAGTTGATGGGTCATTAATCAGTTTGGTTTAATTAATTTGTTTATTTATTATTAATTGAGCAATTTGGTAACAGACTAGTTAATAATTAATTAGTTATTTGCTTTTGTTTTTTTTGTTAAAGATACGCACAATACATTTGGACTGAAGGAGAGACAAGAAGAAGGCCCTTTGTCTCGGCCGCTGTCTCTTTTGTCCCGTTGCAGCAGCAGCAGCAGCAGCAGCAGCAGCAGCGGCTGCAGCAGCAGCAGCGGCCGAGGTGTGGCCTTTTGCATTGTAAAGAGTGCAGCAGCATCTGGCGCAAATGTGTTGGTTGCTGCCGCTGCTGCAGTTTCCGCCGTTGTTACTGCAACAGCAGCAGCAGCAGCAGCTGCTGCTGCTGCCGCTGCTGCTGCTGCTGCTATTTTGTGCGTCTTTTTCTATTCTTTTTAATTTTAACCTGGAGAGGCTGCATCGCCAATTTGTCTCTTTATACTTTTTCCTACATCGCATTTAAAAAGAATAAAGAGGAGAAAGAGCAAAAGAATTCAAAAAGTGCAGCAACAGCAGCACTAAGCAGCAGCAGCAGCAGCAGCAATAACAGCAGCGGCAGCAACACCAACGGTGGCAGCGGCCGCAGCAACACGTGCCAGTAGCAGCAGCAACGGCGGACCGACGAAGCAGCAGCAACAGCAGCAGCAGCCGTGACACTAACAGCAGTAGCAGCAGCAATAACGAGCACGCGCAGTAGCAGCAGCAGCTGTAGTACTAGCAGCAGCAGCAGCAGCAGCGGTGCTAACGGCACAAGCAGCAGCAGGTGCTAGACACTGCAGGAGCAACAGCACAAATACAAAGAGCAGCAACAGCAGCAGCTCTAGCAGCAGTAGTAATACTACAAGCAGCAAGAGCAGCAGCAGCAGCAACAGTTACAGGAAAGCAGCAACAACACCCGTGCTAGCAGTAGCAGTAGCAGCAGTACTAGCAGCACTAGGATCAACAGTACTAGCAGCAGCAGCAGCAGCAAATTAAACGCTGCAATGGAATCCGCAACAGCACTAGAACAGCACTAGAAGCAGCAGAAACAGCAGGCCCTGGGGCACCTAAATTACAGCAGCAGCAGCAGCAAGCGTTTGGCAAAGCCGTACAGGTGAGGGTTTAGGGCTTAGGGTTTAGGGTTTAGGTAAAGCCAGCAGCAGCAGCAGCTGCTTGCCAGTGTGTGTGGCTAGGGGCAAATGTACGTAATAAGACAAATATTTTACGTTAAAAGAAATGGAGATTTTCTAATTAATGAATTTAAGCTGCTGCAGCCGTTCAGCAGCAGCAGGAAGAGTGCTGCTGCAGCTGCGTTTGAGGCCCTGAGGCTGTGGGGTGCGTGCTGCTACTTGCTGCTGCAGCTCCGCAGCTAGCTGCAGCTAGCTGCAGCTAGCCGTGGCTAGCTACAGCTAGCTGCAGCTAGCTGGGCCCTGGTGCCTCCCAGAGAGCGCTGCTGCTTTGCATGGCTGAGGGATTCCCTTGCATGCATCTTAGCACCAGGGAGCTGGGAAATTTAAGAACAGCGGGGCCGATCTTGAGTTATTTTGCGTCGGTGGTGGAAAACTACTTTGAAGATAGAATTAAAATTGCATTTCGAATTAAAATTCGAAGGGAAAAAGAGGAAAGCAACGGGGAACACAGCAGCAGCAGCGAGCGAGCACTGTCTGTTGACTGGCGGATCGCTCCAGCTGCGGGCGGCGGAAAGCTCCCCAATAGCTCCTCGAATTGGAATTTGGAGTGCAAAAAGAGAAAGAGAAGTTGAAAAGCTTTCATTAGAAGTAATTTGGAAGCAAATTGATAAGAATTAAGGGGAGAATCGGGGGAGCGCGGCTCCGCGAACAGTTGTGTAGCGGCTACAGCTGGCTGGGCGCAGCGGGCGCCGCTGCTGCAGTGCGATCCTCGAATTAAACGCTGTCTTCAGGGGAAAATAAAGAGCAACTCGCGGAATTAAGAAGTTTATTTGTTGATTTTTGCGTTTAGAGTGCATGCTTAGCGTGGGTTTCCCCTGGATCCGGGAGCTGAAGGTCGGTGAGGTGGCATCGAAGATCGCGGGTGCCGGACGTGCTGCAGCGTTTGGCGCCGAATTGTCTGCTTTCTTTCCCTTTTTTCGCATTTGCAATCAAGTCGAGAATGCTGCGGGTTTGCCGGCGCGTGGGGGCGGCTGCTGCTGCAGTGGCGGCGGTGGCAGCAGCGAATTCAAGTTTTGCTGCGGGCGGAGCAGCGGAAGAGTGGGCGGGCGGGGCGTCTTCGGGTCTGCGGCTGTCAGAAGCGTTCCCAACAGCAGCAACAGCCGCTGCTGCGTCTTCTGCTGCTGCTGCTGCAGCAGCAGCAGCAGGAGCGCCGGAAAGCGCGCGTTTCTCGCCGGAGGAGCAGCAAGTGGCGGAGGTGCAGGCGCTGGACGAAAGCGACTTGAAGCTGCGGCTGAGGGCTTTGTACTCCACTTCAAAAGACCTGGAAATGAAGCAAATTTTCCCAGAAGGAAGTCTGGAAGGCATGCAAGAAGTGCTGAACGAGCTGAGCAGCGTGGACGAGCAGCAGCGGGATGTTGAACAGTACCTGCACAGGTTCGCGCTGCTGCTGGCGGAGTGTCTGTACAGGTACGGGGACTTTTTCAAATTGAAAGTGGCTTTGGGAGATCCGAATTTGAAAGGAGAAGCTTACCGGCAGCAGCAGCAGCAGCTGCCGCTGCTGGCAGCAAAGTGGACTGCAGCAAGCCGGCTGCTGGTGGCGTACCTGCGGCTGGGCGCGCGGGACCTGCGCGACAAGTGGGGAGCAGCAGCAGCAGCAGACCGGCAGCAGCAGGAGCTGCTGCAGTTCTTCGAGCGGCTTGCTGCAGTCTACGAGCAGCAGCAGCAGCTGTTTCGCTGCGGCTACGCCCTCGCCGAGCTGCGCTACCTGCAGCAGCAGCACGCTGCAGCAGACCTTGCTGCTCTCGTCTCCGACAAAAGACAAAAAGCTGCTCTTTTGGACTTCGAAACTTCTCTTGAATCCCTCAAAGAGGCCACTCATTTGGCCAGAAAGGCAGCAGCAAAACCGCAGAAAGCGGGGCTGTTTCACCGCAACTTTTTGCTGCTGCTGCCGTTTCCCCCGGACAAGCAGCGCGAGGCCGACGACCTCCCGCCCCCCGAAGACGACGAGATGTGAATTAATTGATCAATTAACAATTAAATTAAATAAATTAAATTTAATCATTTAGTTTATTTAATTTATTTAATTTTGTTACTTCGTTGCGCTCCAGACGACTCCCAACTTGCTGCGGGGCCGCGCCGGCTCAGGCGACGCAGCAGCAGCAGCAGCAGCGGCAGCAGCAGCACCAGCAGCAGCAGCGGTGGCAGCAGCAGCACAGAGAACGCTTAAAGGGTGAAATGCAATCCTTCTTTTATAATCCGCAACTGGATTTATTTGAATTCAAATCTCAAAGACATTTGCAAATTAATGCATTTGCATTTGCTGCACACTTTCGTGCTGCTGCTGCTGCACTTTTGTTTATATTTTCTGTACAATTAAAACAAACTTCCATTTACTTATTTATTTATCATTTATTTATTCATTACTTATTTATCTATATATTTATTTCAGTTTATTTGTTTATTTATTTAATTTATTTATTACTCTGCAAACAACTTCCCCCTTTCCTATTTAGAAGAAGCAGCCGCAAACCTAAAAGAGAGAAGCAGCAGCAACTGCAGCAGCAGCAGCGGCCGCCAGCAGCAGCAGCAGCAGTAGCAGCAGCAGCTAGCTGCTGCAGGAATAGTGGGCGATAGCAGCAAAAGGGAATTAGATGCCATAAAGAAGACTTAGGGTTTAGGGTTTAGGGTTTACTGAGTTAATTACTATGCAAGTGGTGGGAATAAAAATGGCCAAAGAGAAGAAGAGGGTTTGGGACTTCGGCTAAGAACGATGCAGCGGCGGGGAAGGGAGAAGATCTTTTTGCCTTTTATTTTCTTTTAAATTGGCTAAAAAGGGTAAATGAAAAATAAATAAATATTTCTATCTTATTTTAATTCTAAATTTCAAATAAGTATATTTGGGAGAATCTGGAGAGGGTTTTCGGTGTGCGTTTGGGTTTGAGGTGTACGTACACCTGGGGAGAGCAGCAGCCGCTGCGAGCCGCGCAAGAGCTGCTGCAGCTTCTGCATTTAATTTTAGTTTTAATAAATGAAATTACAGTGGAATTAATTAAAGTTTATTATTTGCTGCTTTGTTTCCGCGTCAAAGGCAGCAGCTGCAGCAGATCCCCGCTGCAGAAACAGCCGCCTCAAGGACCGCTGCCGACTGCAGCAATCGGCCCGGTCTTGTGGGTTTTTGCGTCTCAAACGCTCCTTTTTGAGTGAAAACAAAACAAATTAATTAAATTAAATCAATAAAGACAACTCACCAAACAAAAAGGCCAAGATCAAGGGCCAAACTGCCGAAGGCAGAGCCCCCTAGCCTGCAGACCAGCTCGCTGCTTCTTCCTTGTGTCCATACACTCGAAGCCAGCAATTAAATAATTAAACGATTAAATAATTGATTTATTAAGAGGAGTTTTTGTCTTTTTGTTGTCTTTTCAGTTTTGTTTTATCCCCAGGTGCTGCCGAGATCTCTCTCGGCTTGCTGCTGCTGCTGCTGCAGCAGAGGGATTCTGCGTGTTCTTTCTCCGTTTCTTTCTCTGTCTCTCCAATTATATCTTTATTTTCGCTGGAAAAGCCTCTTATTTGTTTCTTTATTTTATTTTTATTTCTCTCTTTCCTTCTTTTCTTTATTTCTTTCCTTTTGTCCTTTTCTTCTTGGACTTCACCAAACCACCCGATGCTAGCAGCAGCAGCAGAGGGGCTCCCCCGGAGCCCCTCGCAGCTGCAGCAGCAGCAACAGCAGCAGCAACAGCAGCAGCAGCAGCAGCGGCAGTGTGAGCAGCAAGAGCGACGGCCCCGCCGGCCGCTGCGCCTCCTGCTACTCCTACTGCAGCTGCCGCAGCTGCTGCTGCTGCTGCTGTTGCTGCTGCGAGCCGCAGCAGCAGAAGGCACTCCATATGACCCTTATACAGTAGCAGCAGCTGTGGGGCCCCACAGCCACCTTAACTATTACCCGCCGCCGCCGTACAACCCTGCGCATGCAGCTGAGCAGCAGCTGCGGCAGCTGCAGCAGCTGCAGCAGCAGGAGCAGCAGCTGCGGCAGCAGGAGCAGCAGCTGCGGGAGCTGCAGCAGCAGGAGCTGGAGCTGCAGCGGCAGCAGCAGCAGGAGATGCAGCTGCGGCAGCTGCAGCTGCAGCAGCAGCAGCTGCCCAGCAGTCCCTTCCCGCCCCCCTACGAATACGGCTTTGGTGCTGCTGCTGCTCCTGCTGCAGCTGCTCCCGCTGCTGCGCCCACCGCAGCAGCAGCAGCAGCAGCAGCAGCGGGGCGGCTGCCGCCGTACGTGCCGCAGCCGTTTAACTACACAAGAGAGTTTTTAAAATCTTTAGCAGCAATTAAAAAAATAAAAAATAAAAAAATAAATAAAGTTTTTTCTCTTTTGAAAGAACTCAAATCCACAACTGCCGGTACTGTCTTTGAAGACCACGAGGTCAAGGTTTGTCTTTTGTTATTTATTATTTATTTATTTATTTATTTATTTATTTATTTATTTATTATTTGTTGCAATTATTAATCAAGCAAAGTCGGAAATTCGAAAAATTGAATTAAACAGATTTGAATAAATTCCAAAACGAGCAAAACGAACAGATTGAATCTTTTAATTCAATTAAATTGAATTAATTAATTAAATTAAATTAATTAATTAAATTAAGTAAATTAAAATAATTAATTGAATTAAATTAATTATTTTGATTTGCTGCAGGTGCTTTTAATTTGGAAAAAAAGAAAAGGAGACTTTGGGGTGTCTGTGTCCTTTGTGAGTTTGCCTGTGGGGAGCGAGGTGTCTGTACAGCAGCTGCTGCAGCAGTTTTTGCTGAACGCTGCAGCAGCAGCAGCGGCAGCAGCAGCAGGCGGCTGCAGCAGCGCCTGGCTCGCGCTTTCTCTCAAAGTTGAAGCTCGAGAAAGAAAAGAAAAAAATAAATTTTTCCAAATTAAAAAAAAACAAATTCAAATGTCTCTTCGTCTCTTCGACGAAATTCGAATTATTTTCGAAGACTTGCCCACTAGCTTCCGCGTAAAACACTTCAACTATTTAGTTTAATTTAATTAATTTAATTAATTTAATTTAATCGATTTAATTAATTCAATTTAATTAATTTAATTTAATTGTTTTATTTTGTTTTTAAACCAAACGAATTCTTTTCTTTTTTCTTTTCTTCGTTTCGCCGCCATTCATACTTTTGCAATTTTTCTTTTTTTGAAATTTTTCCACTTCTCAAATCCCAATTAATTCACTTCTTCTATTCTTTTATCAAATATTTATTTATTTATTTATTTATTTATTTATTGGCGTTTAGGGTTCTCCTTGTTATTCGAAAAGGCTCGAAAACCATCTCGGCGATTTCGTCCCAAGAATTCTTCGAGAGGAATTTCCGGAAACAAAAATAAAAGCAAGCTTTTAATTTAGTTGATTTTAATTCAATTTAATTTAATTAATTTAATTTTATTAATTTAATTTGATTTAATTTAATTGATTAATTATTTAATGAATCAATTAATTGGTTTATTAATGGTAATAAGGGGACTACTCGGTCGAGGGCGACATGAAAAATAGTCCTTTCAGCAGCAAAAAAGAAATCTATTGTTAATTAATTAATTAATTAATTAATTAATTAATTAATTAATTAATTAATTAATTAATTAATTAATTAATCTATTTATTTAGTTATTTATTTGTTTGTTTGTGTATTTATTTATTCAGATGCTGGAGCTGAAGCCTGTGTCTGTATGGCGACACATATCCCCCTCGCTGGGTGCGTACGAAGACGGGCCAGTTTTGTACAACTTCAGCAGCAGCAGCAGCAGCAGCAGCAGCAGCAGCAGCGGGGGCAGTGTGATGAGGGAAATAAGGCTTGGGAAGGGGAGCTCTCCCACGCTGCACCGTCTGGCTGAGGTGTACGTACACCGCGCGCTGCTGCTGCTGCGGGGCTGCAGCATTCGCAAAAGCGCCATTTTCCCTTCTTTTGCAATTGTTGCAAAAAGCCAAGAAAGAGTTTTTGTTTTGCCTCTTGAGGACTTGAAAGTGCCCCTCAGGGCCCTCCATTGGGCCCTCAAAGAAGCAGAAAAAGAAAAAGAAAAAGAAAATGAAAAAGAAATTGAAAAACAAATTCCAAAAAAGTCCAAAAATGCAAAAACTGCAAATTCTGAGGAACCCGTTTTCACCTTCGCACTTTACCTTAAAAATATACTCAAGTCCGAAGTCAGTCATTAATTAATCGATTAATTAATTAATTAATTAATTATTCAAGTAATTAACTAACTAACTAATTAATTAATCAATCAATTATATATTTATTTATTCATTTATCTACTCATTTATCTATTTATTCGTTTGTTTGAAATGATTAGTTTTTCTGTTTGCTCGCCGATGCTTATCAATAAATAAGTAATTAATCAATTCAGATAATCGGCTACTTGAATTAATTATTTATTTATTTGATCTGTTAATTAAGTAGTTAGCTAAATAGCAAATAGATGTATTTGGTTTTTTTCTTCAGGCCGCCTTGCCCTGTTTCGAGGCTTCTTTGGGCCGCCTCTCTCCTTCAACTGTCTCTTTAAAATCCTCTCAAATTAAAGTTTTAATCAACTCCAAATGCCGAGGAATATTTATAATTCATTGTTCAAGAAAAGCTCTTTTTCTCAAATTCAGTAATCCCCAAACAACTGTCGCAGACGCCCTCGCGACTTTGCGCACGCAGCTGTACATACACCGCAGCTGGGGGGCCCCGGGGGGTTGGGGGCCTCCCCCGCCGGGAAGCCCCCCGGGGGCCCCTGGAGGGGGGGGCCCCCTGGGGGCCCTCGGGAGGCTGGGGGGGGCCCTGGGGGCCCCCACGGGGGTCCCCCGGGGGGGCCCCCGGGAGTGCTTTGTGGGGTTTATTTCGCTGAAAAGAAAACAGCAAAGAATGCTGCTGCCGGGGGCCTCCTGGGTAGCTTTGCCGGGCAGTACCCTGTTGTCAGATGCTGCAGCAGGGGGGGCCCCCCTGCTGCTGGGGCCCCGTGCTGCAGCAGCAGCAAAAGTGTTGTGTCCGAATTACTTGTCCCTTTTTTCTTTTGCTGAAGAAGTTAAAACAAAAAAGGGTACAGTTTTTGTACTCTCTGTTTCGCAGGGGGCCTCGGGGGGCCCCCGGGAGCAGCTGAGCCCTTTTTTTGAGGGTTTTACCCTCAAGCCTT